GCTGTCTTTGTTTCAGTTTTTTAAGTCTCAATTTCATGTAGACATCCACATGAAATAGTAACAAGAAAATTGTCACTTTTTTTTTTTTTTATGTGTTCTTTGGTTTTTAAAAATGACTTAGTCCTCCTGTGTCATGTTGCATTTAAGACTAAATCTGGGAGGTTGGATTTTAAAACAATACACTCCTTTTTTTCTTCTGATAATTAAAATATTGCTGTTGGGTTGGCACATTTTCTGGTGGTGGGTTGGCACATTTTCTGGTGGTGGGTTGGCACATTTTCTGGTAATAAATTTGCTTAAGAATTATTTTATTATTTTTTGGGGGTAAAATATCTAAAAGTAATAAATGTTTATTTAAATAGAGGTCATATTTGATAATACACATATGTACCAATACAGTTCATCTTGATCTGACCATTAATCCAGCCAATAAAAATACTTTTCCCACTACTCCTCAGCCACGACCAATGATGACGGATCTAAAAAGGAATCAACAGAACAACATGGTCATGCAGACAAGGTCTCGGCAGCCTCCAAGTATGCTAAGAGTAAAAAGTCATACAATCAGAAGGTGCTCAGCTCGGCAGACTTCAACAAGTACATCAAAAGGTCAGCCAGGCGAACCGATCATTTGATTTAATCAGGCTTAATGAAGAGCTTCTTTTTAAATTGAAGACATTTTAGGGATGAATGTTCTTTGTAATGACATGAGGATCTAAGTTGTTCTTAAATTGAATACATATTAGGAATGACTTTTCTTTGTAATAATGATCAAAGTTGTTCTTGGCCCCTTTACTTGGCTAACAAGTCCATTCCACTTGGCCATTTCACCTGGCCATTTCACCGATGTAACACAGTGCAATATAAACAATGATTTTTACCACAAGCAATAATCGCTTGGAACCACCTGGACAATACTGCCGTGGGCTCGACATCAATCGAGAGCTTCAAGGCTGCCCTGGCATCCGCTAGGAGCCGTTAGGATAGCAGCATCGCTTCCCCAACCATTGCAAATAGGCCACAGTACATGGATTCAGCAACGTACGCTACCAGAAGCAGAATAGCTGGGGAAGGCCCCTTGTCAATTTTAAACCTATGACCTGACCTGTTCGCAGAAATGCATACAACATTACCACCTCCCCATAGTCATCTGCCTATGACCTGTTGGCAGATAGGCATACAACATTACCATCTCCCCATAAGTCATCTGCCTATGACCTGTTGGCAGATAGGCATACAACATTACCATTTCCCCAAAGGTCTGGCTATAACCTATTGTCAGAGAGACAGACAACATTAGCATTTGCCCATAAGTCATCTGCCTATGACCTGTTGGCAGATAGGCATACAACATTACCATCTCCCCATAAGTCATCTGCCTATGACCTGTTGGCAGATAGGCATACAACATTACCATCGCCCCATAAGTCATCTGCCTATGACCTGTTGGCAGATAGGCATACAACATTACCATCTCCCCATAAGTCATCTGCCTATGACCTGTTGGCAGATAGGCATACAACATTACCATCGCCCCATAAGTCATCTGCCTATGACCTGTTGGCAGATAGGCATACAACATTACCATCTCCCCATAAGTCATCTACCTATGACCTGTTGGCAGATAGGCATACAACATTACCATTTCCCCAAAGGTCTGGCTATAACCTATTGTCAGAGAGACAGACAACATTAGCATTTGCCCATATGTCATCTGCCTTTGACCTGTTGGCAGATAGGCAATAAAACATTACCATTTCCCCACGTCTCCCTATGACCTATTGGCAGAGAGGTAGACAACATTATCATTTGCCCACATGTATGCCTACGACCTATTAGCAGAGAGGCAGACAAAATTACCATCTCCCTACAGGTCTGCCATATGAATTTCATCATATTAATTTTGTTCTCTAAGCAAGGGGGAAAAAATATACCTCTGCGATGCTTAATAGCATGATAACATTATTTCAGATATGGTACAGGTACCGACTGTGGCGGTAAACTGTGTCAGGACCTGGGATACAGGGACCACTATCATTGTCTGGACTGTATCCATAAGGTGAGTTTTCTTTTTTTCGACTTATAAATATGTTACGACTATGAAATATTTGATGAATAAATCATTAAGGAGCTGGCTTGATCGACAAGGAAGAAAAACATGGCATCCTACATTTTGCCGGCTGTCAATTGAAAACTATTAACTTACGGAGGAAGGGACTTGAGAGAGGGAGATCTGAAAAAGAGCGTCTGAGATGATGGCAGCAGCATTGAAAGTGCCCCACACAGACGCTCCATAGAGAAGTCTCACACAGAAGCCCCACAGAGGTGCTCCACAGAGGTGCCCCACAGAGGTGCCCCACAGAGAATCTGCACACATAAGCTCCCCACAGAAGCCCAATGGGTTGAGAGAGTTGAATTTTCTGTTTTAACAAAATCTGCTTCTGTTTTTTTTTTACCCGCAGGACTTTGAGAGAATGCTATGCCATAAGATCCGTTTGAAAATGTCTGTTCAAAATTGTCTTGTCGGTATTCTTTTGATCTATTTTAAAATATTGTTTTTAGGTTTTTCTCCGTAAAGAAGAGATGGTCCGACACTACAAGTGGCACAAGAAACGTCACGACTCGCTGCAGCAAGGGTTCATGAGGTACAGCCCCATGGATGACTGCAGCAAGAAATATGGCAGCTGTACACACAACAGGAGGCAGACACACTACCACTGTGTGCAGGTAAGAAACAATGTGTGAAGTGGTACAGTAGCCAGACACATTTCACTGTGTGCATGTAAGAAACAATGTGTGAAGTGGTACAGTAGCCAGACACATTTCACTGTGTGCAGGTAATGCAGTAGACTGATAAACTTCCACTGTGCTATACTGATAATAATATAGATGGACACACTTCTGCTGTGCTCAGGCAACATAATGCAAATACAAACTACCACTGCGTACAGAATTTTTTTTTTTACAGGTAATCCGCAATGGCAATCTATTTTTGTAACCACCTATGTACACATGTTTGTTAACATCATTTAATTTATCAAAGATTTAATCCTGTAATTTTTATTATATTCTTTCTATCTCAGAGAGGGTGTGGCAAGGTCTACGTCAACACCTCAGTAATTTTTTATTACATTCTTTCTATCTCAGATAGGGTGTGACAAGGTCTACGTCAGCACCTCAGTAATTTTTTATTACATTCTTTCTATCTCAGATAGGGTGTGACAAGGTCTACGTCAGCACCTCGGTAAATTTTTTTATTACATTCTTTCTATCTCAGAGAGGATGTGACAAGGTCTATGTAAGCACCTCAGATGTTCAGATGCATGCCAACTTCCACCGGAAAGACTCTGCCATCATACAAGAAGGCTTCCAAAGGTTCCGTGCAACCGAGGACTGCGGAACCACTTCTTGTGCATTTTACGGCCAGAGGACCACACACTTCCACTGCCGCAGACCCCAGTGCAATTTCACGTTCAAGAATAAGGCTGATATGGGTATTTATGTGTTTGTTTTAAAACGTTTAATGAAACCCTTGATGTTGACTAGATTGATATGAGTATTAATCATGATGTTCATGGGGAGGCCTTGTCTGCTTGACCCAGGGACCGGACTTATCACTGTTTAATGACTTTTTAAAAAAAAATCCTCAGTTTTAATAAAGTTTTCAAAACAAAGTGCACATTTTATCATTAGCAGTATTAAAACTAAACTTTGTATTTATTTGTTAGTATTATTTTTTTGTTATAAATCTGTGGCATATCATATGATGTGAAGTGGTCCCCACTGTTAGGAACAGCAGACCGGCCCGGGTCTAAAATTGAATGGACCATACATTTTTTGGGAGGTTTGACTAAAATTCAGCCGATCAGATTAAAGGTTCAAGGTCAGCCTGATGCTAAATGGATGCCTTTATTTGTGCAGTCTTTTTTAATAATACTTCATTTATAAAGCATGTCTCTCATCAGGAATAATATCACATGTAATTCTAACCCTATCATCTATATAATTTGCATTAAGGTTTTATGTTGGCATAATCTTCTAAGTGACGCAAAATCTTATGAGCATCTATAACAGATATTTATTTCCATAATCTTCTAAGTGACGCAAAATCTTTTGAGCATCTATAACAGATATTTATTTCCATAATCTTCTAAGTGACGCAAAATCTTATGAGCATCTATAACAGATATTTACTTCCATAATCTTTTAAGTGACGCAAAAATCTTATGAGCATCCATGACAGATATTTACTTCCATAATCTTTTAAGTGCCACAAAATCTTATGAGCATCCATAACAGATATTTACTTCGTTAATTTACAGAAAAACATAAAAGCTACCACCAGAAGGATGAAGTGTTGAGTCGGGATGGGTTCAAAAAGTTCATGAAGTATGAAGTCTGCCAGTTCAATGGCTGTCGCTACTCCAAGACCAGCAATCACATCCACTGCATCAGACCAGGTGCGTTCATGTCCTCTCTGCTATGAACTTTGACCCTTTGCTTTCTAAATTGATAAAATATTGAAGACGTCCTGTCCCTGAATCTCTCTCAAAAAAGAGTTTTTGGCATTTATTTTCGTTGATGACCATGACAAATAGAAATGTGCAATACGTACAACCTCAGCTTCAATAATTTGTTCAACTCAAGTTGTCAGTTTAAGGGATTTTCACACTCCAAGTTATCCCATTTTGACCAGGAAAAAGTGCTCAGAAACATCAGCACTAAGTGTTCTGAAGTGTTCTAAGTGCCTGGCAGAAAAATTCCCCCTCATAGAAATTTCCACCCTGCAGAAATAATTCTCCATTGGAAAATGTCCATCCAGTGGAGAGCCCTTCCGATAAACCCATTTGTGAACCTGAACTATAGAACAATTTAAATTTTAAAAAAATTCAATTAAGAAGGGACATTACATTAAACTTATTTTGAAGCCATGTCGTATTCTCTATTCCCCATTATCCTCCATTTGTCTGTGTCAGGCTGCCAATACGTGCTCCATTCAACTGCTCAGCTCTATTCGCATAAACGTAAACATGAGAGGCGGGAGTTTGAGCAGGCGTACCGCAGCTTCAGACAGACGCAGCAGCACATGCCGACTTCAGCTAATGTCAAAACTGGAAATACACCCAGGAGAGATGTTTCGCCATATCCTGTTTCTCCGTCTCCAACGGCTGGATCGGCGCTGCAGGTTCCTGTGGCCGCCGTTGCGAATGGTCAGATTAAGTCAGCCATGGGACCGGTCCAGGTCAGTTTTGCCAACCGAAACTATTTATTGGGGCCAACAATTTAAAACTTATATTTCGATGTTTCACACTTCTGTAGGTTAAAATTTATTTGATACAGCACAGCAGGAGCTATTAAATATGTGCTGAAGTGGAAACCTAAAAATATTTTTGTGGTCACTCGCACGTGTGATAATGACTTGTTTCTTTTTCCAGGCCGTAAAGTTGGGAGCCATGACACCTTTAAAACCCCCAGGGGATGCTGGCACTTCTGCTAACTCCAGCCCGCTTAGCACAAAGTCGGTCCTTCCGATGTTGACCGGTCTCACCGCTGCGCCCTTGGACATAGCAAAACTTGGTGACCCCCAGAACTTGTCGAAACATGACCTTCACATTTTGACGACTGCGCAGTCCCTGCCCATGAATCTCTGCACTCCATCGGCTCATGTCGGTGAAGTGTTGAATTTAAGCAGCGGGCGGGGCAGACCGGGTCATGTGACAGTAGATTCAAGGCAGACGATGTCATTGCCCATCAAATTGGTCAAAGATGAGTCTACTATAAAAAACGATATGGTCGTACAAGAAGTTGATGTCAAGTTAGAGCCAGAAGATTTATCAATGAAAAGCAAACAGCAAAGCTCTGATAATTCAGGACTCATTGTCAAAGATCATGCTGGAATATCCAACAAAGATCTTACTGGAGTTACCATAAAAGATCTTTCAAGAATCACAGTCACAGATCATACAGGAATCTCCATTAAAGAACATGCAGATATTTCAGTTATAGAAACTGTGGGGGGCCCTAAAAATGTTGAAGAAGCTAACCAAGGATTTGAAGAACCAGGGACCTGTAATTTTGGTGATGTGAATGAAGATGACAATGAAGATGATGATGACGACGATGATGACGATGATGATGACAAGGATTATGGCCAAGTTGAGGAACCAACCCTTGTCAATACGTTTAACAGCATTCTCGAAGGGGGTCAGAGCAGCGATTCCCCGAGCTTGTCTTGTCCTAGTTCCTCCCCAGCAGTGGAAGGGCCAACCCTTGCAGAACAAACGGGAGCAAAGAATCACAATGGCCAAAATGGAGCAAACAAAGGAAAAGACAGGCTTGGGGGTATCCTTTCACTATCCAGCCAATCAGAATCAGGGTTGCCGCCGCTGCAGAATCAATCTCCACTGTCAACACTGCAAGGGAGAGCATCAGAGGGCCCACAAGCCTTATTGTCAACCAAGGGCAAGATCATGGGAGTCCATCTTCCTTTAAAGTTGATGCCAGAGAGAAGAGAGAGAGACGAATCGTGGAAAAAGTATCTCATCAGGTCAGCAAGCAAATTTAAAATTTAATATTTATGAATATTTTATTCAGTCTTCTACTCTGGAATTATGTGAGGCCAGTAGACTGAAACAGCCATCTTTTTTTTTAAGGTCTTTGTTTGGCAATGGCAAATGATTTATTGAACTTTTGAACCAACAGATTCACAGCAAATGACGCCTGCTTCTCTCGCTGTGCCTGTCTGTACAAAGACCACTACCACTGTCGCATGCCAGGCTGCCAGGTGATCTTCAAGTCCAAAGATGGGGTCAGGGGACACGCAAGATTTCATGACCTGCAGGACAGCATCACCCCTTTGGTTTTCTGCAAGTTCAAGGCCGATGTGGCATGCAACTCCACGCAGTGCCAGTTCAATGGCAAGGAGGATCATTATCATTGCAACTGGGTGAGTTCATGAACGTTGCATGTCAGCTGTGTTACGTTGGTCCGCGTTGACAGAGAGTGATGGCAGCAAGACATATTCCACATGTGGTTTTAAAGAATAGATGCTCCCAACACTTTGTCATTGGGACATCATGCAGTCCTTGAAATAGTTAAATGGGACCTTTGCAGACATGTAAATGTACTAAATTAAAATTACTACCACACAAAATTTACTGGTACTATTGGTAACTTCAGAATGTGCTATAAATGTTTTATGTTTTGTTGGGATGTGGTTAAAGCTTGAAAGGAAGGTTGAAAAGGAAGGTTGAAAAAGAAGGTTGAAAAGGAAGGCGAGAATTTTTTTGTTTTAAACCAGGGTTTCTCCAACTTTTAACTTGGCCACCTGTCAGCTAAACTTAAAGTTGTCACAACAAAACGATTTCTGGAGGCTAACAGTTTCAGAATGCGAGATAAATGTCTAGATATTCTATGGAATTGGTTAAACCTCGAAAACAGGTTGAAAAGCACAGCGAGGATTTATTTGGTTTTGATCACCGATTCTCCAACTTTTAAGTTGGGCTGACTGGTGGACACGTTGTTTAATTGCTCCAAAGACCAGCGTCGGACTTATTAATTATATTTCATATTTATTCTACCATAATTACTCATTTTGTGTGGAGCGGCGACATAAGGTGTAGCGGACCAGAGCTGGTACACCGACCACAATTTTGGGAATGCTGGTTTAGACTACATTCTTGATAAGAAGAAATCTCAGCTTCCATGCAAACACAAAATGTTAATACTTTGATAAGTTCTGAGGTGTTCTGTTCATTTTGAAACATTTGCTTCACAGTCCAACTGTTCTCACACCCTTGCGGAGTCGGCCCCAACTTTTGCACGTCTGGACCACTACAGGGTCCATGAATGTTTAACAGCTGCGGTGAGCAAAGGTCGCAGTGTCTTCTCAAGTGAGTACAGGTCCTTGTTGATACTTGTGTGTGTACGGTGGGAAGTTTTAAGCCAACAGTGTTCTCATGCCTCATAACTTCTGTTCCTTAGTAGCTTACGTGAGGTGTAGATCATTGGCATGGGCATCATTTCAAGTTTTTTCAGGGCGGGGGGCAAAACCAAAACTTGGTCGGCTTGTTAAGTTGTTAATTACTGGAAGCGCCACAGTACAAAACATTTTAAATAAAACCTGCAAATTCAGGCGGGGGTGGCATATGCCCCACCCTGCCCTACCCAAATGACATCCCTGATCATTGGTGTTTAGGTCAAAGGCTTGGACTGAAATAGGAAAAAATGAGAAAAAAATGTTTCTTGGACTCATGCTATAAAAATTCAATAAATATTTTAACACATTCCTATCTATTTTAAGCAATCGATCCTTAGTCAAATGGAATATGTCTATATTTCTTATATATCTTTTAACACAATTATGTGAACTAATATGACAGCCGAATAAAATACAGACAATATTTGAAGTTAAATAAAAAAGATATTTAGTATAAGCAGCATATATTTATTTATATGTATGGTAAATAACGCTCTCAAATATTTTTATTAATCCAGGTTCAAGATCAGAACTTGATCCATTACAGAAACGTAGGGGTCGGCCACCTAAGTACCCAAAGTACGACCTGCCGTCTGTTCCTAAAGTTCATTTAACGGAAAAAGAAATCACAGACTCAACAATCGCCTTCATGCACAACCAGTGGCATGAAAACAGTACGATCATCAACGGTTTCAAGAAGTTTGTCTTGCCAGAGTTGTGCCCGGATGAACTGTGTGTGTTCAGGTCTAAGGACCACTTCCACTGCGGGCGCAAGTTTTGCCACATGTCCACTGATCGGCTGGACGTGCTGAACGTCCACGCCAAAGAGTTCCACAACAACATCACAATTCTGGAGGGGTTTGAGTTTTTCGAGCGCATGGTGAACTGCCGCAGACCCATCTGTCACAACAATAGGATAAATCGTCACTTCCACTGCATGAGGTCACTGTGCGATTACAGCTTTGTGCGGCACAGCACGATGGCGCAGCACAACAAGAAACATCCCACTGTCACATCTGCCGTACTTTCCACACCTATGACCCTGGCCGCACCCGTGACGACCATGGCTCAGCCCAAGATGACGCCATCTCAATACATTGCCATTGCCCCCGTGCCTTGCACGTCCTCGATGCCAACGGCTGCAGCCACCATGAGCATCAGCAGTAATAATAAAAATGTTGTGAAGTCTGCTGGGACCTATTACCCCATGTCTGGAATATCCAATATTAAGTTGTCACCAATCTCAACCCTTGGAACAGTTGTGACCACTCGAGCACTGACCCCTGCCCTAGCTGTCTGTGGTTCTCACGTGACTCAAGGGAGTTCAGCGAAGGTTCTGCCCGATTCTCAAATGGCAGCCATGAACAATGTTCTGAATGGTTCTCAAATCACAACTGGGACCACAGCCCAGGTGATGACGGGATCTCACATGTCACCTGTATACTCAGGTGTAAGTGTAAGCAACACGGTCTCTGGTGGCCAGGTGTTTCAATCTCAGGCGGGGGCATCAATGTTCACAGCTGGCGGGTTGTGCCTCACCCTTCCCCCAAACATGGTGTCGACATCAATCCCCGTCATAGCACAGACACCCATGGGTCAGCAAGCAAGCGTTCTCACTGGGCTCATCCCAGTCGGGCAGCTCTCTCAGCATGGGCTGCCCTCTCCATTAATAAATATATCCGCTGGTCAGTTCCTGGCCGCTGCCCAGGGGCATTTCCTGCAGCAGAGTAAGTTAATGGGTCAGAATGTTCTTCAGTTCATCTCCAGCCCCACCAGCTCCTCCACCAATCAAACCCTGACCACCATCAGTCCCAGCGGGAGCAAACCAGTTGGTGTGCCACCTCTGACGGTGCTGCTCCAGCACCATCAGCAGCTGCAGCAGCAAGGTCTCGGGGCACCGCTCAGCTGGGCGGGTCTGAAAAAACAAATGCATTACTCAGTTGAGCACAACTGTGGACGCCCCTTCTGCAAGCTCAAGAAGAAGGACCACTACCACTGCCTGGACTGCAACCAAGCCTTCTCTGACCCAGCTCGGCTCCGAGCCCACATTGGCAAACACGGGTTCAAGTTTAAAAAATCTGGCCACTCTAAGAATCCCAAAAGGAAAAATGACTGTGAAGCTCCTTTAAACTTGAAACCAATTGATTTGACCTTGTCCAGAAAAAGAAAACAAGCTTCTGACGAGAAAGATTGCGAGAGTTCAGATTATGATGACTCTGCAGATGACCCTGTTAATTTATCCCTCAACCTGCTGCCGTCGGTGTTCACCAACATGGTATCAAATTCTGTAGCATCCAAGGATGTCACAGCTACACCTCCTTTGAATGCCTGGAATAGTAGTCAAAGCTTGTCTGGCAGAGCAACAGATTTAAGCAAGGCTCACCAAAGTGAGAGCGTGGATGATGATTGCGATGACCTTGAAGACCTAAACAGCTCTAACGTAAGCAACGGGGCAGATTCCAAACATGACAGCCTGTCAGATTCTCTGCCAATTACGTTGGATGACAGTTTTGATGAATTTGAGTCCCCGCTCAACGCCTCCTCCTCTAGCTTGACCCTCTGCTCCTCACTGTCGAGGAAGTCTGGTCGTAAGCGCACACTGGCTAAAAATGAAGGCTTTGCTAACACGGACGCGTTTGTCCTCCCCAAGCCCCAGAAGCAGAGGAAGATGAGCTGGGGTATCAAAGTTGATGGGGACATCCCTGAAGGTTACAAGAGGGTGCGGTGCGGTGAGGACTGTGGGCACGTGAGGTGTGCTTACAGACAGACTGTAACACACTTTCACTGCCTGCGTACGGACTGTGGTTACGGTTTCAGTGACAAGTCACGTATCATGCAGCACCGCATCCGCCATGAGCGCCTGGATGCCCTGATGGGCGGTGAGTTCCAGCAGTTCAGGGCGTCGGTGAGCTGCGAGCAGGACGACTGCGAGTACGACGAGAAGGCATCACACTTCCACTGCCTGAAGTGCCCCTACTCCTGTGTGGATTCCAGCAAGGTGCCGGCACACCGCAAGTACCACTCCAAGCTGGACAACATCAGCAGCAACGGGTTCACAAAATACGCCGGAACGTCGGACTGTCAGATTGCCGCCTGTTCGTATTTCCGCAAGCAGACGCACTACCACTGCACGTTTGCAGGGTGCAACCACGCTGTGCTGGGACCATCTCAGATGGCACCACACAAACTGAAACATGCCCAGCTTCAGTCGGTCTGATACAGGAGTCTTCTTCTATTTGGCTCCATTCAATATTGAGCAGTCAGTTGTTGCCTTCATGTCAATTAGCAATACATTTAAGTTAATGTATTTTTAAAATTTACATCTGATAACTTATTTATACAAAAGTTGGAATGAATAGATAATACAATTTTTTGTGTGGGTCTTTTTAAAAAAAATATACACATATTTAATATTACTTAGCCAGGTTTTGTTTGTGATAACATGAACTGTGTTGGAACTTGACACACTCACCCACACCTTTGTTGTGACCTTTGACCTACTTTACTGTCATGTAACAGTTGTGAACATTTTTTTTTAAACAAATAATTCACAGCCCCATCCTCTTTCCAAAACAATTAATTTTAACCTAACTCCCTTCCCTCCACTACCACTTTTTTTTTCTTCCCTTTTTTCACTTTGTGAACATCCATTGTTGAAATAGTAATTAATCTTAATTATGGTCTGACTTAATTATAACAATGAAATTCTATTATTAGTATTTTTTTATATTTTTTAATTTGATCGAAATTCATACAAAGCACTATCTCCCTTCCCAAACTTGCTGTGATTTTGTCAACAGCTGGTCTACTACCGAAACTCATCATTAGATTTACGTAATTAGAATATAGGACAAATTATAATGAGGAGAATCACCCTCCTTCTGCTAATCGTGTCAGATTTTTATTTATTTATTTATTTTAAATCATCTTGAAGAATGAAAAATAAAAAAAATTGAGCCGCAACAGTTTCGTGGCATCATTTGAAAATTGTGATTTATGAACCTTACATTTCCTTGCCACTGCTGCCGTTGGAAGATGCTGACCTCCTCAGAAATTAAGAGTCCAATTATAACCTGAAGGCTTGCTTGTTGATGTATTTATTCTTGATTATGTTGGGTTAAATTTTGTTCACATAAAGGCCATAATATAATGTAAATATTTATATAAACACACATTAATGTCTATGTAGTGTCACCATATTTGGTTCCGACACAATCTGAATTCCAGGATTTATATTTTTTTAAATTATTGTTAGAAATGCATCACTATGTGTTAGCCACTGCACACAAGTGTTGTCTGGCCTAACCCACGGGGAGGCAACCTTTCTTGGTCATGAGGGTATTCCCACTTACACAAAATTTAATTCACGTGTTATAAATTAAAATAATATTTGGGGATTATTTTTTGTTCTATGCAAGTTTTCTTCTCTACTGCTGAGTAAGTTTTCACCTGTACTGCTGATTATTATGCTCTACCTTTTATTACGATTATGCTCTACCTTTTATTACGCTCTCACAATTTTTGTTTCATGGGAGTTGTGTCATTGCTGTTTTTTTAAATTAAAATATTTGTTACAAAAATGCTTGATAAAAGCAGAAGAAAAGGGCTTATCAAAAAAGAAAGATTATTTTAGTACCAAAATTGTGTAAAAATTTGAATGTACAACTAAAAAAGTGCCATCTTCCACCTATATGCAACAAACACTTAGTGATGATGATTGAATACGTTTATAGCGCTTGTGTCTATGCTATTTTAGCATGCTCACAGCGCCCTGATGTCCTAAAATATTTTAAAATAAAAACATCATTAAATGTTTCTTAAATGATTTTTCATCCTTTTCAATTTCCCTCAAAGATTGAGGCAAACTGTTCCATAATTCCAATAGCTTCAAAAGAGCACACTCCATATGACTTTTTTCTGTGTTCTTCCACAGTGGGAACCCTCAGTAAGGACTGTGTTGAAGAGCGCAGGCTCTGTAAGAATAATTGTTAAGAAATCAGTTTTTGAAGATATTCAGGTGCAGAGTGGTCTGCTACTGTTTCAAGGATGGGTTGGGTTGTTTAAAAATCATACTCTTGCTGGGACATTTTCAATACATTCTAGGGGGATCTAGACTTAATTTCCAGTTAATGCTTTAATCTTAAAAAACAATATGTTATTTGTAAGGTTGGACTCTCTGTGAAGGTATATCCCCTACTACAATACATTATTTTTGCAAGGTTGAACTCTCCAAAGAGGTATTTTTACAAACTGAAGTGCTTAAATAAGCTGGACAGCGCATAAATTATTTTTTTAAAGGTTCATCCATATAAAATTCTTATACCCCTACCTCCGCCCGCAAGTTTTTTCAGAACAGCCCTTTATGTAAATATAAATTAGCTCTTCTCAAACATATCTGAGGAAAGAGGCATTTAAAACTTTTTGAGCCCTTGTGAAAAGATAGTTTTGGAGATCTGTGTATCTGAAAATATATTTTCATATTTTTTTCTTTTTAAATCTTCTGCTTTCCATTTTGATCCCTGATAGTTTGGTCTGTTTTATTGTTAAACTGTATCAGTGTATTTTAAGATAGAAACTATCAATGCACGAAAATCAATTTGAGCTTCATGAACAAAAGACCAAATTTAGTCCAAATGATTAACTAATCCACACTACATACAAAGCTTATGGATGAGCCCTTAAATACAAGCAAATGAAAAGTGGGGAAAAGGCCATGTTTAAACATTAATTTAACTTTGTAAGCCCAACTTTTTAAAAATATTTTATTATCATTAAATTTAAAAAAGAAAACTGGACTAAGAACCCATCTTGTTCTATAATTAGCTGTGCAGGGCTTGAAACCAATTCCTTATAGATTATACTCTATACTAAGATGTAAATAAATGAAATACAAAATTATCATCTACATAAAACAATGCACTGGATAGCTTTGATTTTCTAAAACAATTTACATTTTTAAAATTTTATTCACTGTGTTATAAAAACTATGCCATTGAAAATGTGTACATACAGGTGTGTTTTTAAGTGTGGATTTCCTGTTTTAATCTTTTATGCATTGAAATAGTACACTAAAAAAACTGCTGATTGGATTCTAGTATACTAGTAAAACTGTTGATTGGATTCTACGTCAAGAAATTTTAGTATTTATTTATTTTTACTCTTGATATATTCCATGCACGTGATGACCTACTTTTTGTGATGGCTGGCAGCCTTCATATGTTGTAAATATACAAAATTTGTTTCTCTGTTTGTGGTACGCCACCACACGCTCACATTCCAACTAAAACAAGTGAATTCCTTGTTCAATGAAATGTGACGATTCTTGTGTCACAATTTTGTTTCAATTATTTTATGTTCACAATGACCTGTGACTGACTCACTTTAACTTTTGCAATTTCAAATAAAAATCCAAATTTCAAGTATGTTCTATGTGGTTTATGGAAAATAGTTTAGGGTTACCAGTTTTGAGGATTAAATTTTGTGTGCTGTTTTCTTGTAACGGTATTTGGAAAAGTTTGACTTAGAAATTGTTCTCTCATTCTGTTTTTGTCACATGTCTAGATTTGAAGATAGCTATTGGTCTCCATCTCATAGTTGCAGTTGTAAGAAATGAGCATGTTTACCGCTATATTTAAGCTAGGCACAGGGGTTCGATTTTTAAAAAAAAAACTATCTCATAACGTCATTAACCAAAATACCAGTAAATAAAATAATCACTGAAAGTAAGATAATCACTGAAAATCATTATATTTGTTACATTTTCAAAGATAGTTAATATAAGAATCATTTCGACCTAAGAAATATGTAATAAAATGCTCATTTTTTTATGAATAGATCAATACTATGCTGGATCCTCTTTTTTTTGTATTTATCTCTTTTTAGTCCATTCTCGTGAAAGCCATTAACTATCCATTTCTGTTCCACTCCTGAATAAGCCTTACAAACTCATTCCAGCCACCAATATGACTTGAAGGATTTCACTCTCAAAGTTATGTTTAGTAAGAACACCTATGCATTCCTTGTCATTACTGTAGCTGACAATACAAACATTGTTTTTTTTTAAAAATGTTTACACCAACTGCTGCTGAATTTTGATTGTTCACATTTTCTATACTAAAGGATATTAAGGATATCTTGTTGGGCTGTTTACAGATTGAACTGCTGAAAAAAAAAACCTTCACAGCTGCTGTACCTGTTATCACTGAATTCCACCATGTTTATTTATTTTTCCTCCCTCTTGATTATTAGGTCCTACTGTGCAAGACTAATAAAATTAGGGATTTTTAAAAAAAAATTTAATGTAACAATTTTTAAAGCAAACTGGTTATTATCATGTGATAAAATAGATTTTTTTTTATTACTTTCACTCATGGTAAAATGTGTTTTGTTAACCAATCTATAAAGTTTAAATTTCAAGTGGGAACTAAATTGCCAATGTATTTTTAGAAGAAGGGGAAAGAAAATCTTCCCCTTTGCATTTCATCATTTTTTTTTTTTGGATGAATGTTAATCCTAATTTGCTTTAAAATTAGATTGATAAATGATTTAAATTTTCTAAATTTACAGACAATTAAAGAGTAATTTGAGATGAATTAAAATTAAAATGCTGCTATATTTCATATGTGATCAAGTTAATATACAAAAATCCTTATATTTGTTCCATTCCTCTTTATAGACATTATATTTATATGTCTCTAATCCTTTAAAGTCTATTCCCTCAAAGACACGTAAATGGGGACTAAGAAAGTGTTTGTGATAAATGTATTTATAAATCTTGGTTTGTGACATTGTCATTTTCAGTTATTTAATTCCTGACTTTTTACCTTGAATTGTTGCCAGTTTGTAATGCTATTGTAGCTCATAACAATTTTGTGTCTGTGTGTGAAATCAGGTGAGCTCTTTGTGTACAGTTTCATGGTTTAAATCAGAATTTACTTTATTAGTTTTATCTCACCTTCACCACATCTGCTCATTTATTGTTAAAAATTTTTTAATTTATGTTACTAGCTTCCTCCCTGAATCAGGGTCTGTTTATCTTAAAGCAACTGTATAAGACACCCAGCATCTGAAGGCACTTGGAATGTCATGGCATTATCTGCTTTGGAATTGCCTGCCACAAACATACACTCCTCCCCCAGCCCTAATGATAACCCCATGGCAACATAATAATGTTAACAATACTGCACTTTGAATTTTGTTTCTGTATGTGTGTGTTGATCCATACCATTTTTGAATAGGCATTATTTATAATAAAACCGATCCTTTGAAGTTTCATTAGTGAGAAATTGCCATTGTCACCAACCTTGTTATTAGTTCATGAAAATAATGTTTTCCTTTTTTTTTTTTTTTTTTTTTTTTTTTTTTTTAAAATTTTTTTTTTTTTTTTTTTTTTTTTTTTTTTTTTTTTTGGCCTTACATTACTAAGGATTCAATTATTTACAGCATTGTGGGTGACTTGCTTTTCTATGTGTGGGTGACATCAATTGTTCATTTTGTCAATTTTTTTTTTTTTTTTTTTTTTTTTTTTTTTTTTAAAATATTTTTTTTTTTTTTTTTTTTTTTTTTTTTTTTTTTTTTGGCCTTACATTACTAAGGATTTAATTATTTACAGCATTGTGGGTGACTTGCTTTTCTATGTGTGGGTGACATCAAAAGTTCATTTTGTCAGAATTTTGTGTGATGACATCTTTGTGGGAGGCACCTAGAATCATATTTTTATTTTATGGAGCTTATTTTCATGTTGTTTTTTGGTTATAACTAACCTCCAGTTCCAGCTAAAAGATTTTATTTAAACTATTAATTTATTGTTAAATGTGTACAGATCCAGTTTTTTAAACCTTTTAAAGTTATATTTAACAATGAGCTAAAATATTTTGTGTTACAATGTCATGGTGAAAAAAAGACAACTTTTATTCACAATAGGTGAGTTAACGTATGCAGATTCTCACCCAGGTAATTTATTAGTACAAACTGTCATTTATTTTATTGCTATTTATGACTAGAGATTTCTTAACAATTTAATATTTATTAAGAAGCATGCTTTTAACAAATTTTACAAGAAAGTTTTCCTAAATGAAAACTTGATTAATATACCGTTCATAAACCATGTATGTGCTTGCAAACAATAAAAAATAAAGGTGCAGTGAAATTTTAACTATGAATTTCAATTAATCTTTAATTTTGGGATGCATGTATTTGGTATGTGAACAAGCTCTTGATCGCTAATATTTTGGGAAACCAGAAAATAACTTTTTTTCGGCAGTCTGCTGGATGAAAGAATCAAACAATATTATTAAGAAGTATATAAGGAGTCATTTTAACTCCTGAATATCTTTTTACCGTAAAAATATTTCAAAGAATAGCCCCTGATGTTGATGACAAAGTGCAAAGAATATTTCACAGTTATTATTTTGGATTTTTTAAAAAAAAATTTTTAACTTAAAATATCAACTGGTTTGTAAGAAATCATTACTGGGGCGCTTGAGTAAAATGGTTCCCTATCCAAAACTTCTGCTTTCAACTATTTACATGGTAAAGATAAAGAGGTTGTTTAACAGTGGGTGAGAATAGTGAGCTTCATTCCAAGGACCCAGCATTAGTTAGCAGAGCCTACTGTCAAATATCCAGTGCATTCACACATAACTGTGGTACAAAAATCATTTTCTATAGCTTAAGGGATGTTTTTTTAATTGTACTTTTTTTTTTTTTAAATGATGAATTTAATTTATTGAACAACAGAATAGATGGGGTATAAGCCCTATCATATAAAGTCAATCTTTTTAAATATTGTTCCCATTTTTGTCTTGTTTTTTTTTCCATATCCATGTAATTTTTATCCAGAAGACTATTATTTCTTGTTTGTGTGTTTTTAAATAAAGCCAAACAGAACAAATACATATTGTTTGTTTTTTTCTGTTGGAAATTTATGAGACAATGAATGTGTAACAGTTTTGTATAAAGTAAGAGTTGTAATGTACTAATAAAATCACCAGTATCAAAATATTAGGTTATATATTTATTCCGCCACTTTTCTCCTTGTCACTACATCTTGATGTAGAGCTCTTAGCTAATCTGTGAACTAGAGGCAGTTAAGTCCTCTGATATCTGGAGGTTTTTTTAAAAATGGATTTGTACCAACTCTTTCAACCCATAACTTAAAATTTCTTAGAGGGAAAAGCCAAGATATATTTTAAAATTGATTTATTACAACATTAACCTCTCCCATAAAAAAAATAATGAGTTTATATTTTATACCGGTAATAGAAATTATGAAAATTAAGCTCCAAGTGAGAACAACTTGGAACATCAACCACAATGATAATATCAGTGTTTTCTAATCGTGACAAAATATTCAAACAAGCTATATTATTTTTACAGGTATTTGGTGAGGATTTTAAAAATTCCTATTCATGTAATGTCTAGTAATTTTTGTTTTAAATTGTTCTCAAAATGAAAAAATCTTATTACACACATATGAATTGTTCCATAAAAATTAGTACCGGTCAATCACATTCATACTAATACTTAAGATGATTTTAAAAAAACAATGTTATTACAACTGAGAATGTTGTTAAAACATGGAACAATTCTTAAAACATGGAACTAAATATTTATATATTATTTAAACAAAACACTGAATTAAAATTTCAGAATGAACCTCAATAATTTATTGGGAAAGACCCAGATCACGCAGAGTAATTTTCTAGGTCAGACAAAGAATCCAAAATGAAGATATAAACAAGCAAGAGTGGATGTTTCAAATATTAAAACTATCAAAACTGTTGACACAGTTACTCTTTCAGTTTCTTCTTTTTGGTCTTGTTTTGTGTTTGGTTTGCGCTGCTAGCCGGAGTTGAACCCTTGGATACTGTGTTTCCTTGTTGCTGGTCACGAGGAGGTTGCCACGGTAGTGGCTTCTTTCTGTACATTCCCCATGGGATCAAAGTCAGCTGAATCAAAAAGAAAGAAAAAAAAATTTAACAGATGCTGATTTGATGTTATGAAAAATCACTTAAAGCACAAGTTGAAGACAAACAAAAGTCTAATTCTTGAGGATTATTTTGTGGGTGGAGAAAAAAAAATCATAAAAGCCACCTTATTAGAAGAAGGTGAAAATTTAGTGTTCTCAATAGCAGGTCACGTATTTCTCTTGAATGTAATTTGAATTACGTGAGACATACATATTCTATTTAACATGTGAATTGAAGTAATTTATCTTTTTCAACTATTTTGTGAAATAATTACATTCATGTAATAAAGTGTAGTATGCTAAAATTGGACTTACACAGTTTATTGTGGGGGTGGTATACTTGTATAAATAATGGATCTATCAAGTTAACTGAAGTAAGGCAATCTACAAGAGGTGCATTACTATTACAAAGAATGGAATAAGGACGTGGGTTACACAGAATATAGTAAATAAATACTGCCTAAATAAAACAGTTTTTTTTAAAAAAATGTTAACACACCAGTTGCAAAGTAAAATTACTTACGATTGAGGAAACAATAACCCCAGCAAACAAAATGTATAATGTCTGAGAAAACAACTGAGTTATGTATCCCCAAATGAAACCAACAACCTGGAGAGAGAACATAAGATCTGGTTACTTGTCTTCAATAGATATATTGAAGAAAATGTCAGATATCCACAAATTTCAGTCAGCAAGCTCAAATACTCAAGTCTAAGAACAATGTATCTATTATCATAATAATATTGACAGTAGCAGTAACATACATCTTGTATCATGTTTTAAAGGGCCATATTGTAGAACATAGTGAACCCTGTGACACGGAGAGAAATAACATGTCAACTAGATTTTTTTTTTCTTTTTCAACCATGCATGGGAAACCCCCCCCTCCCCTCGTCCCCCAATTCACACACTGGGGACTGTGTGGATCTCTCCATGTGTGATGGTTAAGCAACTGCTAATGGCCCATGTATCCTCGGAAAAATAATTGAAAGAGAGGACAAGAATGCAAAATGGTTGTAGAGTACATATAGAAAAATATTTTTGTCTACCGGTACAATTTAAAAGGTTTATGGACAATGAGGGGAATTTACCCAGTTGCATAAAATTTTCTAACAGCTTCTGCTGAAATTAATTACTAATTAGAATAACACTCTTCTGACACTGAGGGTCATAGAATAGTGTGAATATCAATCTTACTTACTGCAAATACTATGATGATGACTTGAAAGTACCTCTCAGCTCTTTTTTGGCCATCAAAGTCCTGAAATATATATATGTAATTTATGTCAGTAAGATACACATGAAATTTTTTTTTTAATTTCTGCAAAGACGGAAGGCAATAGTTTATTTTGGTAGGGATTAAATAAGGACATGTATTAAAGTTGGCTAAAATTTGGTAGATTAAAATAATTTCCTCTGGTGAAAATTTTCAGGAATCATATAGAGGCAAGTGTTAGTGTTAACAAAGTGCTGGTAATCTCATGTTTTAGCATAGTAAATTACAGGTCATCGATCAGTGATTTTATTACACTGCTCCACTTTCAGTGACGGAAAGGATTTAACAAACTGCAAGCATTATTTAATACTGGTAATTATTTTGGGTCTACTATCTGCCTTGCCATTTATCATGGTCAGGGCGAGTGCATTTCCATTTATTCAGACACAGAAGAATTCTCCATACAGTATAATCTTCTGTAATTTTTAATTATAACTCCATGCAGTCTGACGTTTTTTTTCAATTTTGTCAAAATCTTAAGTTGATATTTTTTAGTACTAAATATCTCACCTGAAATAGCTCTGACCTTATCAGTTATATAGATTAACTTGCTCAGCTTTCAATGGGCTATCATTATCATTAGGGGTGTGCCGGATCCGTTTTTTCCAACCGGATCCGGATTTTCTTATGCGAAATCCGCCGGATCCGGATTCGGATTCCGGAATAATCCGGATTCCGGTTTCTCCCGGATTTTGGTACTATTGGTAGATACTTCGGTAAGTCAAGGTGGACTACTACTTTTTGTGTATGGGAATTCGCAATCGGCGCCAAAAAATCCGAGTTTTTAATTTTCCGATGTGTGTGTCTATTTATTATTAAATTAGTACTTTCGATATATATTTGAGTTCCGTTCCATTTGGATATGTGTCTTACGAGAGACGCCATGTTTCTACGCGTTCGCAGCAGGTCATGCAGCTCGCTCAACCTAATTTCGCCATGGGGTTGGCCACGCCCCCCTTTTTAATGGCGGAAGTTGACGATACTTAGGAAATATTAATTTATTATCACTATTTACATCAAAATAATTGATAACTTGTGTTTCAGAATGCATTTAAAGACATTTAAACTGGAATGTTTTAATTTGAGCTTTAACAACCCGGTAGAATCCATATTATAAATGATCAGAATTTACCGTGTGCAACACGTTGTCATTGGCAACCATTCACAGCCACTTGCATAACTGTATCGTAGTACTACCTCAGAGTTTCATTCATAAGAGTTTGCCGTGTGCAAAAACTATTAAACCATTGGTCAGGGAAAGCTTTAATTAATTATTCATGTGCCAAAGTTGAAAGTTTAAACTAAGTCTAAACAGTATTTTAGTGATAAGGCAGGGAATGCGTTGCCTTATATAAACTATATAGTCATTGCGCATGACGGGATTGGTGGAATGAGATCACAGAATGTGGAGATGCAGTCCATGTTAAAAAATGACAAACCAAGTCGTACTTTAAAAATTCATAACTTTAAAACTACAACAGCTAAAAATATGATTTTGGTGTTATAATTCTTTAAAAAATTACATCTTTTCAACTATGCCATTGGTTTATTTTTACAAAAAGTTTAAATTTTCTTATCAAAGTCCCTACACTATTGGCCACTATTAGCGATGCTGACTCTAGCCACTGGTATGTACGGAATATTAAACATTAAACAAGCTCAACACTCGAAACAATCGATTAATGTATCGTGATCGTGTGGAATTCGGGAAAGAGAATTATGATCCGGTGAGTCACAAAATCTGGCAAATTCCGAAATCCAGTATATTCCGGATTCCGGTTATTCCGGATACATGTAAATCCGGCGGAACCGGATTTCACCGGATAGTGCAAAATCCGGCGGAACCGGATTCCGGACCGGACTCCGGCACACCCCTAATTATCATGGTCATCATATATTATTTTTAAAAAAATTATTTACTTAGGTTTTTAAAAATATATAAAGGAATATTTGAGTAATTCTTTCATCACAATTATAAGTGTAATTTTGACCAAAATTTCACATAGTATGAAGGAAAAAAATAACACCTTGCTATAAATTTTATTAAAATAATATACTAAGACTTCATGGTATATACATACCATAGTCAAACATAACAAACATTAAATGTTGTGAATTATTATGTGAAACCTATATTTGGCCAAATTTTGCTTTCAATGGAGTATACGGATTTGTTATTTTGACTAAGAAGCATAGATTGTTTATAATTTGGGTTGTCGATTTAACTGAGGTCGAGATAAGCAGGTTCGACTGTAGATTATATTTGTAAAATCATCATTAAAGCTTAACATATATTATTTATTAACACAAATTGTTTGTGTGTAATCAATCTACTTTAAGGCTTTATTGCAGTCCAACACTCTCATAGATTTGAATGTTGAAGATAACTCTTAATAATTCTTGAGTAAAAATATAACTAAGTTAACTTTGATGACCATATGAAGACTTCAAAACCAGCATCAAGTTTTTCTTAAATATAATAACATACTGTGGTAATCCTTCAGATAACACATGGCAAATTTAAATGATTCAGTAAATTCTTACTGAATTTGAAATTATTTCCCAATCCTGTGCATTGCAATCTGATCTCATTTATATTATCCCCATATATACCTATATATCTTTGTTATAGTCCACAACTAACACAAGCAGACAAACTAAATTATGCCTAAATTATTTTTACTCACTGAACTGACATTACTTCTGAAAACTAGAATGCATTTTGGCTATAATAATAGATCAATTATAAGTAACATGTTACTTCATCACCGAATAATCTTGCTTTACCGATATACCTACCTCAGTACTGGCTATTTAATATTCACTAACACTAGGTCATAGGTAAAGCAAGGGAGACTACTTGAAAATTGGTATGGGAAATGGGGGTCGGCGCATGAGAATATGAGTGTTTAATTTTTGGACATTGGTGTTTTTCCATTATTAAAAGGACTATTTGGTCATAAAATTGTGGTATCCTTCTACATGTTCACGATAGGGGACATCTTGACCTATATTCCAAGGTATTGTTTAGCCTTTTTTGATCGAAATAGTTTTGAAAATTCATAGGTATATTTAAGGCATCTTTCTGTTAAATTTTTTTATGAAATTCAAAAAGGGCCTGGCAAAAGACACCAAGCATGGAGTCTCGATGTAATAGGATTCCACCAATATCAAAGAGCGACCGATGTCTAAGTCACCGATGGACAAGAGAACCAGAGGCATGGCTCGAGTACGTGGTGTACTTCTCGGAGCTCCAAAAAATATTTAGAAAGTAATTTAACAAACATAAAATGTTTCATTTAAAAAAAATAGTATTTGTTATTGTATTCCGGCAAATAGATGGTATTTTACTTTTAAATACTTTTAATGAAATTCCATGAGGTAAAAATGAAGGTAAATGCAAAGAATGGATGCCATGAAGGCCAAAAAAAGTAGAGCAAAACATGTGTGATGAAAAATAGGGAGGGTGAAAAACTTACCGAAAGATAAGAGAATAGGGAGATGAGGAAATTGAAAAGAAAAAAAAGTGAAATTATTAGTCTAGTAATTTTTGGAAAAGTTCTTAAAAAAAAAAACATAAAAAACTAACCAAAAAAAATTTATTTTTTTTTTTAAAAGGCGAAAATTTAACAATATTAAAAAAAAAAAAAATTTTAAAATAAGCCTTAAAAAAAAAAAAATTAAAAAAAAAAAAAAGTGAAATTATTAGTCTAGTAATTTTTGGAAAAGTTCTTAAAAAAAAAAACAAAAAAAACTAACCAAAAAAAATTTATTTTTTTTTTTAAAAGGCGAAAATTTAACAATATTAAAAAAAAAAAAAGTTTTAAAATTAGCCTTAAAAAAAAACAAGCAAATTTAATTAACTAAAATCAGCAGCAAATCGATACCTAAACCGAACCCTAAATATATCCCTAATCCTATCCCTAATCCTAACCTGAACCCTAAGCCTAAATCTATCCCTAAACCTAACCTGGGTATTGACCCTAAACATAACCTGGGTATTGACCCTAAACATAACCTGGGTATTGACCCTAAACCTAACCTGTGTATTGACCTTAAACCTAACCTGAACTCCCTAAATCGATCCCTAAACCTACCCTGAGCCCTAAATCGATCACTAAACCTAACCTGAACCCTAAACGTGAGGCAAGAAACGCTTTTAAAAACAACAAAAAAAACAATGAAATTTTTAAAGTTATAAGACTTTTTTACTCACTCTCTATGAATCTGAATCTCGTAAATGGGGAGGATATGCAATTTTTATAACATTTAAAAAATCTTTCATCTGATCTTTGCTGCTACACGAATGTCGCCACAAATATTCAAATCAATACGAGTGTAACTGCTCCTCCCCTGAACAGGTTCTTGTGGGCAGAGATCTTTTTATTGCACTCCAAGCGCCTTCTATGGTGTTGGTGTGCGCGCGTGCTTCAGAGTATTTGCTCTCAATAGAATGGTTCACCCTCAGGTAGTGAAACCCTTCGTCCTCTAAACAGTCATAAGACCTCCAACAATCAGAAATGATTGTGGTCCCTGGCTGCATGAATTCCTTTACTTTTGCCAGGAGGACGTCTTTACCGCGGTTCTCAACAACCCTGAAAAGGGATTTGTTGGATCCCCTTTCAATCCCACCAAACACACATTTTCTTTCTACCCGTTTGCCTCTATGATACTTTCGCTTGCCAAATTCGGATTCGTCAACCTCCACAATTTTACTCACTCCGCCTAAACTCTCATTTGACAAAACACATGCTTCCATGCAGACCTCGCGACAAAAGCTGACAGTGTGTTCCGTAACCCAAATAACACCCTCTTTGGTCGCAATATGTCACAAAGGCATTTTTTTAAATCCAAAAATGTGTCAATAAAAGTATGTCACTTATCATCAAATTACTTTCACTAAACCATGACACTTTCCTTAAGCTAGGCACAATATTGCCATGGCTTGTGACGTGACATCTCCATGCACACCCATCTGAAGCATTTGCCCACGCACACAATTTCATACCCTTCTTACAGTTGGGACATTAGTACCGGTCTGCAATGAGATCAGCACTCATAACCCAATCTATCCCACTCCTTTCACCCTGACATTCCAGACGAATCTGAGAAGGGGCATTAAATTCAACCTCCATCTGCATAAATTAACCCAAAATGCATATGAATACAAATACATAAAAAAAATAATTATCTAAAAATAAACAAAGGGAAGTGACTCCTATGTGGCAACTTAAATAATCATGCAAATGACAGCATCCATTCTTAGCACTGACCAAAATGAATTTAAAATTTATTTTTCTAGAAATAATAATTTGCATTAAAATAAGGGATTACCTCCATGGTCCATAGAGTTCATAGACAGTAAGAATATCAAACGAACTCTTTAAAAACTCATAGCTAAAAATAAAAAGTACTAAAGTCTAAGTCTAAAGCTAGAAAGTTGATTCTGGTTTCATTTGTCTTTGTAAATTTGTTTAATTTTAAAGTTGAAATTTGCTTTATTAAACCATTTTTTAAATTAAATTTTTGAATTTTGATTTTTTTTAAACCGAAGTAGTAAATTAGCATAGAGTTCATAGAGTATCCACTTAAGTATAGAGTAGAGTCACACTTAGGTCTTAGTACTAGACTAGAGTGTACTAATACTATTACTATCACTATCACTTAATTATAATTCAATACTCTATTCATTTACCATATGTACAGGAATACTCTTGATGGAGTCAGGTACTAATGGCAAAATATATTCCATGCTTATATATTTTGTTGTATAATGCTCAGTTCTTTAACAGTAGGATTTTTAAAACGTGTTAGATCAGCAAGGGTAAGCAGTATAAGTATAAATGGTTTGCCTACAAGTTACAAGCAAAAGCAACGTAGCAGTCGCTGAATCCGGAAGTGAAAACTGCAACTAGTATTTTTCGGTTTTTATAAAGCTAATTTAAAAATACACAGTAACTGATCTGTCTAAACAATTTTACCTTAAAAAGTTCTTATTATATTTCATTTAAAAATAATTGAAATTTTAATTATAATATTGGAAGAGTATTACAATGTTATTTTTTCCAAGTTCCTTCTTTAATACGTTTTGTTCAAATATTACTTAGAATTTAAAATATAAATTATTTATGTTATATGAGCTTATTCAGCTTATGATTATATTATATTATGACTTATGATTACTACTACTAATGAATAGCCAACTAGGTCTAACACAAAATGTAATTAATGTGCAAAGGGAGGCGAATAGAGCACCCGCCAAGGGTGCCAAAATCATCTAGAACCTTAATAGTGAATTGCACGATAAAAATCCCATGCCCATGCCATGCACTTCAAAAATACAAGCGGCGCTAGAAACGTCTTTTTAATGGGCCGCCTCGGGCGGCACTTTTGTCTGTATTATATATAGGCCTATAGATAAATGAGAGTTCACCCAGAGCGGCATATACTAATCATATGATATAGTCCAGGTACGCTACTGTCAATTGTGCTTCTTATTTTAATTACAACAATAATTAGTAGCCCATTGTTTATCTAGACACGAAATATGTCATTTAATTGTTTGAATATATTATATAATTATGTTAAGTTAACCCATTTAACGCCCACATTTGTAATAGTACGCTATTCCTTGAGGACCCCACGGTCTTTTTACAAACTAATGACCTAAGGCAGGGCATGTTTATTAAAAGTAGTAATTAAACATATAATCACAACCATTTACGAGGTAGGCTACTGTTTAAAGAATATTTATATATAAAGTTTTATTATAAAATCATTCGTGCTAATCAGTGTCTTAAGATATTTAGACTACTCTTTCTGCATATATATTTTCTGCTAGCAATTTCCCTAAATTGTTGGACGCATCACACATTAAAATGATTAATTTTGATTAGCATGACCGCTCACATGTAATCACTTTTATTTAGTTTTAAATGTGTTTTTGTCAACTTCAGTTAATATGACCAACATTATGGGTGTATAGACAACAAGGACAATTTGACACTATTTTAATGATAATTTATGTATTATATATAATATAATACCAGTAGGCCCTATACTGTTTGACTTTAGTTTTTATGGAGGGTTGGTGAACTTGAAATTAATAATTAATTACCACTACTACTACTACTTTTAATTTGACTGAAGTTTAATAAAAACAAGTATAAGAAAATTACTGTTTTTATTTATTCAATAATTCCAAAAATATAGACTAATTTAAAATGTAATCATTTGTGCATACAACAACAAACTGTGTGAGTGTGGTGACGGTGTTCAATGTTGTTATTTTAATCAATCTTCATTACAGTTCTGCTGTAGGCCTACTTGTACTGTAATGTCTTAGCTTTTAACTTTTTTTTTTTTTTTAAATAAAAACAGATGAAGCACCTTTATGGCAAAACAATTAGTAGACTCTAAGGGGGTGAGGATTTTTTTTTTTAATTATAAATAAATAGAATATTAATGATTAAAGTTAAAGGGATTTAAAAGGAAAGAAATAATTAAAATGTGGTGCAGAAAGGAAATGTATAATAGTATAATCAATTTATTGGAGTAAATAAGTAAATGAAGAGCAAAAAAATGACTTAAACTAAAAGCAATATAAATTAGACACTGTTCGAAGCCATGGAAAGAAAGGCAAATGAATATTTGTAGTTTGGAGTGAGCTGTCCCTTGTGTGCTACATTTTTTAATATATATACAGTGGGGCTGCATATTCAGCCAAATACAGAGTTTTTCATGGGGGAAGACGGCATAAGTCTTTGCTATGCCACTTCATTTAAGTTAATTTCGCTTTTTCAGCACAACTCAAAAGAGTTAAAATGATGCAGAGTATGTACATGTAATGCTACACATATTTGTTCTTATAGTTTACTTAAATTTTTCCATTCTTGAGAGTAACTTTACATTGTTATAACTTCATATAGATTGATTTTAATCATACATGATTTTTTATTAGAATAAATGAAAAGCAAGGAAAATGGCATCTTTTGTAAAGAAAATTAACAACTCTAATAGAATCAAAACCTCTGTAAAAAGTTTGTTTTAAGCCTTTTACCATCAACATGCTAAACTGAAATGATGAACTGAAGTAAGAAATATTTTTTTTAAATCCTATGGCATAGTTTAGATATGCCATTGTCTAATGAAGGCTACTTGCTGAAACTAAAAACATATATCTAACCATATGCACTATGGGCTCAGATAATTGTTATATAGGCAATGAAAAAAAATGTTAACAATACAAATTAATGATAATTGAACATTTCAATAAAATGAATTTTGCTTTATTCATTTGCAGGTGAACCTGTCAAAATGGCAACCAGTTCGCAGTCACAAACCTTGTTAATAACTTGGGTTATAATTCTGTTCATGATCTTGTGCATCAATGTTAAGTTAGCTGCTCTAGACAGAAGTCAGGGAAACTTGCCTCATATTGTTTTTATAGTTGCAGATGACTTAGGTAAGAAACAGTTTTGATCACAAGGGAAAAGATTCAAACTTACTAACAACTCATAAATATGTGTTCATTATTAATTATAATCTATACTATATTGCCAATTTAATGTAATTTCATTCTTTTTAATTTTGAGTTCAAAATATTGTAGAACATGCAATTAATATTACTTGTATGGAAAGAGCTAGAGAAGAGTACATATGTTCCTATTGTTTAAAATATTGTGTACTGTAAATGTTCTGAAATTGTTTTGAACAGGTTGGAATGACATAGGTTTCAATAATCCAGACATCATATCCCCCAATATTGATAGCTTAGCTAAGTCAGGTGTAATACTTAACCATGCCTACATGCAGCCTCTCTGTACACCGTAAGTTGACATGCTTTTTGAACCACTTAACAATTTTCAATCTTTAAATAATATGTATTATATAAAATATTCTTTTCATTTTGTTTCGATGTGGGGCTATCATTTAAAGCTGAAATATCTCAAAATATTTTTGATCTCAAGGTTTTGATTGTTTTTTTTTGAGAGTTAATTTTTTTATAATCAGAATTATAAAAAGTTGTAACATCTTAAAACCAGAGACATATAGATGGTGTGGCAACACATGTATGTGGAAGCACACCACTTGAAGGGAGGCACAACATTGGATAGCTGGACAAAGAATTTCTATTCTTTAATTAAAAAATATGTGTTTTTGAGAATACATTTATTATCTCTGCAAAAGCTATCTGTAGCTTGATTTGATATTTTTAAAAAATCTTTATCATTTGAGAATAGGTTTCTCAAGTTTGATAGAGTTGCATCTTTTGTTCTTACCCTTGGTGCAAAATGTTCTCCAATGCCTCTGCTTATGACGATGCTTTATTGACATATTTTGCCATGCCTTCTTTATATATCTCTAATGTATATTGAAATGTTTAATAGAATATTATATAGATTAGGAATGACTAAATAAAATTTGGTACAAATTCAAATTATTTGAAATTAGAACTTGACACTGTAAACAGAGTTATATTTTTTTACATTTCTTTGTCCCCTTATTTATGTATTTCTGCAGATCAAGAAGTGCTTTTATGACAGGCTACTATCCATTTCGACTTGGTTTTCAGGTTAGTAACTCAGGTCTATGTTCAAAATTAGTTTGTGCTCAAGGACAATGGTTGATAAGCCTTTTTTTAAAATTAGTGCTTTGAAATTTCTATTTAAACAAAAGGGTTTAAATACTAAAGTAAAAAGAGGTATCATATGTTTTGATTTGTCTTTGCAATCATTTAGTAATAACTTGAAAGACTCTATCATATAAGGTCATTTTTGTGGAGCTTGATTGACAGAATAATGTCATGTTAACTGGTACAGTACTTCAGCTTAAGTGTCCAACTTGATTAATGCTGATAAGGACTGTTTTGTGTATAAACAACACTCCGAGTAATAGTGACTCAGCATTAATGTCAATTACGTGGTCCAATTATACGTGAAGAAACTGTAACATTGAAAAGGAATCCTTAGTCAAATAAGAGCATGCAAAGGTTGATTAAGGCCAAAGATCCAACTCTTAAAAGTTCAGTGCTATTAGGTTATAGAACAAAAATATGTGTGTACAGAGAATGGAAATTGGGGGGAAGGGGGGTGTTTACAAAAGGTAGAGTGGGAAAATATGTATCTATTATTATCTATCTATATTTGTTTATTAAATGATACTAAAGACTATGCGTCCCTACATAAAGACTTACAGTTATTTAATTCTATTTACATTTAATACACCTAAAATTAAAATAATTGATAGCACAATTTTGTTTTAAAATTAGGTGTAAATATCATGAAATGGTCTGATGGAACAAGGTGTTAAATTTTGGCTGTTCTTCCAACCCATTTTTTTAAATATCAAAAACAGTATAAAATGCTCAAACAGGCTGATTCTGATTATATTTTGGACAAGTCCCAAAACTGTTATAGCTTGTTTGGCTCCATAGCATTTACGCCATGTGCACAATCGAGACCAAAGACAATTACTTTTCTACTTATTTTGAAAACAAATGATAAAACTTCATTTTCTTTTTACATATACCAGCATATAGTCCTTAGGGAGCGACAAAATGTGTGTGTGGCACTTGACAAAATATTTCTTCCACAACTGTTGAAGAAGCAAGGCTATGCCACTTATGGAGTTGGCAAGTAGGTCAGACTTTGTGCATTGTAGGAAATGATGATATGTTATCAACATATAAACAGTTATTAATTTGACTAACTCTAATTTTCTGCACATGTATTTAGAAAAGGATTATCTATTAAATATTTCCCAAAGGATTATCTGTGTTGTTATTGATTTAATACATATAGATCAACAAATTAACATCAGTAATTTTTTCCAGTACAAGACATTAAAAAAAAAATTGAATCTTTATTTTTTTTTCAAGTACCCAAAAACATAAATTGAAATGAATCAATTCAAAATTTTATCTCATTAAGAACTTATAATATTTGAAAATTTATTGTAATGAACAATCTGCTAACCACGCAGGTGGCATCTTGGCTTCTGTAAATGGGAGTGTACTCCTCTGTACAGAGGGTTTGATGCATTTGTTGGTTACTTTTCCAGTGGGGAAGACTATTACAGCAAGCTACAAGGTAGAGATATCCCAATATTTCTGCTTTAATCCTATGCTTCAAATAATTTTCTTAATATTCTTTTGTCATGTCTATTATGGTGTGATAATAAAAAGTAATAACTGCTTAGAAATTTTAATTTGAGATTGGATCAACGCCTTTATGATTCTCTACTCAAGTCTCAGAATATGTTGTTAAAGATTATAAGCCAAGTTCCGGTCTCATTCAACATTTATTTATATATTTAAGAACACTCTATATGCTAAGAAAGTTTTAATGAATAGATAAAAAATTCAAGCAATTTAATAATTTCGATCAATTAAGTTTATATTCAACTGACACTTTTACTTAAATATTAATTTTTTTTTTTGGTGAACAAACTTATATCATCTGATTTTTATACAAATTGGAAAGAAAAGAAACCACAGATTTAACACCAAAAAAAGTATAATAATAATAATTCTTTTTTTTTTTTTTATAACTGTTGAGTGTAAATTCTTTTTAAAGGAAAAATGTCATGCTCTTAGTTGTTTTTTTTAAATCTGAAATTGTCTTTTTTTTTTCTTTAAGACAATTTTTATAAAATATTTTCTTAAGAATTAATGTTCTTCTTTAACAAGATACTGGTTATGATTTCCGTATCAATCAGGACACATATTGGGAGGCTAATGGAACCTACTCCTCAGTAAGTTGACATCATCTGAGTGTGAATAGTTAATAAAGCATTGGGAATTCATTATATACATTCAAATATGACATTTTTGGCTCCCAATTTTAAACCTCTACCATTTGGTCCTGGGCCTCATTTAATTTCTTTAAAAGATTATTTCCATTACTATCAGTCCTCAGGACAGTTTCAGTATTTCACCAGGGTATTTTGATTTTGTAAGTGAACTTAAGTTAAGTTGTGAAAAAAATAGATTTAAAAAATGTATTTATAAAAAGTGAGTTTTAATATTGTTTCTTATTTTTCTGTTTCAGTTTTTGTATCAGTCTGCCCTGAAAACAATAATAAACAACCATGACCCCAAAGTTCCAATGTTCCTTTACATCCCAGCACAATCTGTCCATGAGCCTCTTGAGGTAAGTTACAGCTCAGGGCTACATGGATCACCTAAGCAATGCCATTTGCAAAGGGGAGATGCTTAAGCAAATGCCCAAGTTGAATTGCTGAGTAGGGAAAAATGCCATTCATAAGGACACCAATAATCTCAGGCTGATGTACATTTCCTATGTTGAAGGAAACAAAGTTGACTAAAAATAGGTAAATAAAGAGCATCAAGAATTGAAGAAAGTTTGGGAGGAAAGTGGTGGTAGTGGTTGGAAAAAAAAAAAGGGGGGGGGGGAGAGAGAGAGAGAGAGAGAGAGACTGATATCACTATCAATGACATCATTTTTTTTTTTAAAATTGTATTTTCAAATGTTTTATATTTTACAGCAACTGGATTCAGCTTTGGCTAACTTAAAATGATTTTTCATTCAACTTACCCAATGAGAAATTAAGAGACAACTCTTAGATAACATTTTTTTTCCACATGTAGGTCCCTGATTACTACTACAACTTGTATCCCAACATCAAAACCAAGGGCAGGCGAACATTCTCAGGTACAGTGAACTAATTTTGCACTTTTATTTTGGGGGAAAAGATTTTACTTGCAAAAAGATTTTTCGTGCATGCTTTTTGTTGAAAAAAAAAAGTATAATTCAACAGCTTATTTAAGTTTTTGTGGAAGCACTTATTATTATGGATTTCAGGAATTTTCTCATCTCTTAAAGTCAGAAATGTTGTTTCCAGAGCAACATATTTTACTTTATTACTCCACTTAGAGAATTAATCATTCATTAAAAAAAAATCGGGGTATTTTTTTACCTTTTTTTCATTGTATGGTAATTTATGCTTGAATCTATTTTCGATTTTTTTTCCTTTGCTTTGTGATTGTAAAAAGAATAATTATGGTGAAAATTAGTGCATTGAAAATGTTACCTCACTGCATGCCTTGTGGTGGTTTTTATCAGGAATGGTTACTGCCCTTGATGACACTGTAGGCTTAGTGGTGGATTTGTTAAAGAAAAGAAATTTGTACAATGATACCATAATTTTCTTTACTGCAGATGTAAGTTTTTGCTTTATTATTTTTTTTGTTTTTGTTTTCTTAATGTGGGTAAGGAATATTACGAATATGAAAGGTTGGCCTATATCTTTTGAAAGTTCATTTACCTGTTACTATTATATTAATCAATTTTTTTTATTTTAAATTTTGACAAAATGTTATTTTACCAATATCTAAAACACAGTTTTACATTTTAAAGTTATTTGCATAGCCAGAGGAATGGAACAAAATATGTTTATCTAAAAAGAAATATTAATAATTATCCATACAAAATAAATCCTCTAGATCTCAAAACTCTAGTGCCACTATCTAAGACTTAGCATCCAAGCATCCAGAGCTACCATGACCATAGTTATTTCAGAGCTACCATAGTCTTTTTAAGACCTACCATAGTCCTATTCAGAGCTACATAGCCATTTTCAGGGCTACCATAGACATTTTTAGAGCTACCATGGTAATTTTAAAAGCTACCATGGTCATTTTCAGAGCTACCATGGTCATTTTCAAAGCTACCAATAGTTATTTTCAGAGTCACCATAGTCCTTTTCAGAGCCATATTAAAAAAAAAAGTTGTCACTTGTTTAACTACATCATTAGAATGGAGGAGCAGTGCCCTTCCATGGCAACAACTACCCGCTTCGAGGAGCCAAGTCAACTATTTGGGAAGGTGGCACCAGGGTCCCCGCCTTTGTTCATGGGAAGTTTCTAGAAACAACTGGCGTCCGCTACGATGGGTGAGTTTTCAATAACATGTAATTTTCAAGTTCATCTTGTTGGTTCGATTCCTGAGAGTAGTTTTCAGTTTTTATCTTTTGATATTGTTGTTACTATTATTGTTATTATTATAATTATTATTAAAGTGGTTTTTTATAGCGCAGTACTCCAGCCTAGGGCTAGTCTCACTGCGTTTCAGATAAAAATTAGCAATTGCAGAAAATTATACATTTAAAAACAACAATTGGTGAAAAGCTTGACCTCACCCACCCAAGCACTATCTACCCGTTACTTGCAATTATATTTTTAATTATTGGAAATTAACATACAGTATACTTTTACAAAACAAAATAAATTCTCCTTCATTAATAACAATGAACATTTAAATAGGATCAACATAGGGGTGTTAAAATGTGTTACACATTATTAAGATGTAATAAATTCACAGTAAAAATTTAAAGAATAGGTTCATTTCAATTGAAAATATAATGTACCCAGTATTACTCAATATTTAAAACTCCCATGAAAGTATTTTTGTCAACATTTGGTTATTTTAGTTTGATCCATGCTGTGGACTGGTCACCTACTATTGCTGAGGCTGCAAAAATCCCTTATATTGGTAGGTTTTCATAGGACTTCATAGCACATTAGGCTGTCCTTTAATAACATAGCACATTTGGCTGTACTTTAGTAGCATAATTTGAATGGGAAGATGAGATGCTGTGAGATATTAAGCCAAGTCAGCAGGACCATCAGAATAAAACATTTGGTTGGTTACTGGGTCAACATCAAGTTGAAAAACCATAAAAATACATTCTATTAAAAAAAATATCATTTAGTTTTAAACTGCTCAATAACATATAGTATTTAATTATGAAAATTTGATATAAATTTAAAATCTACAGTTATCCTTAAGCTAAAAACTGCAGTGCAGTATGACAAATATCTGTAGATATCTGTATGACAAATATCTGTAGATATCTGTATGACGAATATCTGTAGTTATCTGTATGCCAAATATCTGTAGCTATCTGTATGCCAAAAATCTGTAGATATCTGTATGCCAAATATCTGTAAATATCTGTAGATATCTCTATGCCCAAATATATTTGTATTAAATGAGACAGATCCCGACAGTGATGGTGTAAGTCAGTGGCAGTCGATCATTTCCCTGTCATCTTCCAAACGTTCTGAGATTGTCTACAATTTGGACAATGAAACAACTGGTCTTTCAGGCCATGCAGCCATACGGTAAGATGTCCTGTGTATAAAATATCTGACTTGTATCAATTACATTAGCAATGCTGACCAGCTGCTTTAGTCTTACTGACTGAAATTTTCCCTCAAGGCAAAAAGAAAGGTTTCTGAAATGAACCCAAATCTTCTTAAAAATATAGCACACAGAACTGGCAACACCCCTTGAAGGTGTGATCCTTTTAACACAAGGGTGGAAAAAAGTGATGTTGGGGTGAGGAGAGGTAAGGTCTTTTAAATATAACACCCATAAACACTTGATCTAGACTGTTTTAACATAACACCCATAAACACTTGATCTAGACTAACTATTTCAACATAACACCCATAAACACTTGATCTAGACTAACTATTTCAACATAACACCCATAAACACTTGTTATAGATGATTTATTTCTGTTTATACAAGGGAGGGGGAAACTTTATTGAAGTAATTCAAAATATAAAGTAAAATGTTTCAGCTTAGAGCCTTCTTGAGTAACTGCCATTTAACAAAGTATACTAGCTGGCAGAAAACCACATAGTATACAAGCAGGCTGAAAACCCATATAGCATACCAGCAGACAGAAACCCAAATAGTTAACCAGCAGGCTGAAAACCGCATAGTATACAGGCAGGCAGAAAACCACATAGTATACAAGCAGGCAGAAAACCCAAATAGTGTACCAGCAGGCAGAAAACCCAAATAGTGTACCAGCAGGCAGAAAACCCAAATAGTGTACCAGCAGGCAGAAAACCACATAGTATACCAGCAGGCAGAAAACCCAAATAGTGTACCAGCAGGCAGAAAACCACATAGTATACCAGCAGACAGAAACCCAAATAGTTAACCAGCAGGCAGAAAACCCAAATAGTATACCAGCAGGCAGAAAACCACATAGTATACCAACAGGCAGAAAACCCAAATAGTGTACCAGTAGGCAGAGAACCCAAATAGTGTACCAGTAGGCAGAAAACCACATAGTATACAGGCAGGCAGAAAACTACACAGTATACAGGCAGGCAGAAAACCCACATAGTATACAAGCAGGCAGAAAACCACATAGTATACCAGCAGGCAGAAAACTACATAGTATACAAGCAGGCAGAAAACCCACGTAGTATACAAGCAGGCAGAAAACCCACATAGTATACAAGCAGGCAGAAAACCCACATAGTATACAAGAAGACAGAAAACCACGTAGTATACAGGCAGGCAGAAAACTACATAGTATACAAGCAGGCAGAAAACCCACATAGTATACTGGAAGACAGAAAACCACATAGTATACAGGCAGGCAGAAACTACATAGTATACAGGCAGGCAGAAAACTACACAGTATAGAGGCAGGCAGAAAACCCACATAGTATACAAGCAAGCAAAAAAAGCAAAGAATTCCAGCAGCCAGAAAAACACACAGACTACCAGAGGGCAGACAACCAGCTTATTTTGAAAATAAGTAAGATCTGTATTGAAAGACTTTAAAAATTAATTTTTTTAAATATTATTTTTTGTTTTCCCTTTTGTACAGAGTAGGAGATTACAAATTAGTTTTAGGAGTCCCTGGGGCATTAAATGGTTGGTACAAGCCAGACGAAGACTATACAGAAGCAGATGATGACTATGTTGGAAACTGGACCAATTTTGAAGGCCTGTTTAATCTAAAGGGTAAGTCCATACTTTAAATTGTATAAAAAAACAACCCTGTTTTCTTTATGAAGATAAATATTAATTTTACCCCTGATAATACATCACCTAGCTTGAAAGTGATTTTTAACATCTGTTTAATACAGGGGTAACCAACCCCAAAGGCTTCGCTAGTCCCTTTGTTAGCAAGTCAAATGTGCGTGGGCCGCATGTCATTAAACTTTATATTAAAATATTCATATAAACACCCTTATACTGTAGAGAAATGTTAAAATATTCTTGATGCACATAATGAAATGCTAAATAGCAAAACAGAATAAAACCAAGCGAACGTGACATCATTATATCTTTCATCTCACTTATCTTTTTAAAATTGATTTCTTTGTCTATTGAATGAAGAAAGAATAAGTTTGTCAAAAATCAGGCATCTGTGGGCCGCATCATTTGACGTGGTGGGTTAACAACCCTTGGTTTAATATTTAGTGACATTAAGTTAAAAAGTCAGCAGAGAAAGGTGATGTCCCCGAGGTTACCAGCTTTTGGCTAGTGGGTCCTAGTATTGCATGCTCACCGTTACTAATCCCTTCATTATTTTCAAATAGCTGAACAAGGCCTGTATATTTCAGATGATCCCTTTGAGCGTGTGAACCTCTATAAACTGCTCCCAGATGTGGTCAAGAGCATTAAGTTTCGGCTGTCATACCACTACACAAGAATGATCCCAGCAAAGTTCCCACCTAATGATCCCAAGGCTGACCCCAGTCTATGGAATGGCACTTGGAGCCCAGGCTGGTGCTGATCATTAGTTGAGCAATGAAGTTTTTTTAACATTTATTTAATTATTTCATACAAGTAGTTTATATATAAACAGTTTTACAGTATTCAGAACAATTTTCTACCTAGGCTACAATCACATAGGAATAGACTGACATACGAGACCAATTTATTGGTCAGTCGGACATTGTGCTCTCATGGCAACAGATCACATCCGATTTTAATCAGCCATCTTTATTATTTATCATGACAACAGCCTTGACCTTTTATGACTATTGTTGACTAAATAATCAAACTGGTTTATGGTCGCAAACCTACCAAAATTAACTTTTTAAGAATGCTAATTTTTTCTTCTACAAATCACAACTATAAATTGTAGAACGTATAAATGCATTGTTCAAAGTTTCTATGATGAAATTCTGGAATGAACACGTGAATCGAGTCGCCAACTTTTGCTTTAAAAGTTTAAATCGGACAATTCTGGCCAAAAAACAACACCAAACAATAATCTGATTTGAACCTAATTTTTTGGAGCGTGTTTGCAAAGCACCAACTGTGACAGAGTTAAACTTAGCTACTGTGAACCTGTGCTTTGTTCATGCATTTTTTTTTTGCTACACAATTCAGTCTCTTCTGTCAGCCTAAAATTTAGTTGAAATTCGGAGCCAATGTGATTGTAACCTAGGGCAACATAGCCTTCACAACCAATTCTCAAGTGTCCTATTAAAGATATAATGCAACATAGTTGTTCAACTAGGCCAAAGTATTTCTTGTAATCATTGATAAAACCATTAGTTTTATTTATAAATGTGATCTGCACTGCACTTTATTGAATTATCTTTATTTAATGCCACAATATGAATGAATTTAGTGCATATCAAATGCATTCATAATAAATATGAAATGCTGTAGTTATGGAAGCAATCAGTGAGCAAGTTTACTGCAAGAAACCTCATATTATTTTGCTAAATGATATTTTGTATTATTATTTTGCTAAATTTACACATTGTTCGATGTATTTTACAACAGCATAATTTTGTCCTTGAATTGATCATGTACATGCTTAAAACTATCTTTAAAAATTAACATTTATCTTGCCTTACAAAGTGGAGATTATTTTTACAAATGAGATTTTTAAAAAAAAAATCTAATTGTTTTTATAACAGTCTTTACATCACTTGAATATACACATAACATTTAGTCTGAAAAGTCTGTGATTTTATATTAATTTTTTTCAGTCAATTTTGCACCAATATGATTCTACAAACATGCCCATGTGAAAAATATGGTGGGGCCAATATCTTCAGAAGGGGTCAAAATCCTAATTTTTTGTGCAAAATATGTGTATTGATATACTTCTTTGGGGCAGGGGGCTCCTAAATTCAGGTTTGCCCAGGAAGCTGTGCTTTCACCTGCCATGGCTACAATTGTTGCATTCATTAACATTCCTTTATCTTTTTTTATTTTTTTAAATTTTTTTATACATGTGCCAGAATATAACAAAAGGAGCAGACTTGTTGCCAATTTTTGAATTAAGTTTAGTGTTTTCAAAACTAAAATTTCGTATGACTTTGAGAATACAGTTATTCTGTTAATGGTTCATTAAGTGACCTATACAATTTGTTGATTGGTTTGGGAGTGACTGAGGTGAGGGAAATTAATTGTCCCTTGTTTGACAAATTCAGACAAACGCTTTCGCAATTAAATGTATAGTCATTTTAATTTTCTATTTACTTAAGAATATTATACAAATGAATACTCTTCATGGCATATTGTTTGTGTGCAACAACTGGATCCTTACATAAATGTTAACAAGCTGGTGACAGATATTTTACTGCTGTTCCTCCTTTCCCGACCACCAATCAAAGAACCCAATCTCTTGAAGTCTTTCAACCAGCTGCTTTTGGGTTGCATCATCCAGTGGTACCATGGGATACCGTGGCGGGCCTATATCAACACCCAGCTTCGTTAGAACAACTTTCATGGCTGGGAGCAGACCACCGGTAACAGAACCTGTCAAATGAATGTCATTTTAAAATTTTTAATTTTGTTGAGAAAAATCTGATATTGATGTTTTTCCTATTTTGGAAAATTGATCGCAAAAGTTTTTGTTTTTTTTTAAATCTTAAATAATCAGCCTGTAGAATTTTTTATATAAACAGTATTTTACTCACCGAATTCAAAGCAAACTTTGACTAAATCGACACTCTTGTATTGATACCGCCTGGCATCATCTAACCGTCCCTCTTTTAAAGCTTGTTTCAGTTTATGATAGACACGAGGTATCAATGAGTAGGTGGAGCCTATTGCTCCTTTGAAACCTATGGCGAATGCTGATATCACTTGCTGGAATAAAGAAAATTAGATGTAATATTTTAGAGATTAGTTTCACCATTTTCTTTTGCTGCTTCAATATGAACCAGGGTCTGAGCTTTTTTAAAAAATAATATTTTAACTCAGGTGTTGATAACCTTGTTTATAACATCAAACTCCAAACAGTTTTTCCACACTGTTTCTATGTCTTATTACATAAGGGGCCATCCATAAATGACATCACACTCTATTGGCCTATTTTTTAAAATAATCCCCCCCCCCCCACACACACACATACACACACACACCGTCAATTGTGAATTAGAAAAAACCCCCCCCCCCCCCCCCATTTTTCCTTTTTCCGGTTTTCCCAGAAGTGTGATGTCCTTTAAGTATGGCCCCCAAAGGAAAATATTACAAATGAAATGTTTAAAAAATATAAACATTCAGAACACATTAAAAGCAAATATCTCCTCTGCTCTCACAACCCCCCTTTTCCTCACACCCACTGAAAGCCACCTTACTGAGGGTGCGAGCACCCTGACCAATAGTATTCTGGTTTAAAACTGTAAACCTCATATCAAATTTTAGTTCTAGTCCAGGTTGAGAACCACTGTAAACAGTATTAAAAATCAAGTTTATACACTTTTAAAATAAACTTTCACTTGACTTAGTTTTCACCTGCATGAAATAAAATGTGATTTAAAAAAAAATAATTAGTATTGTTTTTTACTTATGTCATTACCTCATCACATCCAAAAAGCAAATCATAGTTATCCCCATTGGCATCAAGAGTCCTTAAACATCTGCAGCCTTCATAAAGGTCTTTACTTGAAAATTTTATGCCCCTGAGATTTGGAATAACATTTCTACTTTTGTTGAGGAACTGTTCCATGTCAACTAAAAAATTGGATAATTCTCTGTTATTTAAATAGCTTATACAATATATCAATTAAAAACTATTAACTAATTTGAGTAAAATAACTGTCCTGGTTTTGGCCAACATGATGAATTGTTTAAAAAGCTAGGATGAAAAATCTCTGCCTTAAATTGTAACACTTGAGGTCATTGAAGAATGCTTGTATATTATTAACACATTGTCATAAATAATACACACACATTCTTCAAAGATATTTTTTTCATAAGTTACTATAGAGAGCAAACTAAAGGCTAAATGAGAAATAAATTAAATATGGTACTCACACCTGACACCAGTTCGATCTGGAATATGGTAGTAATACAGAGGTAGATTTGGTGCCTTATCAGCCACTCTTTTGCAATATTCTACCAGATCATCTTGACAGAATACAAAGTCACACTTTTTACTTTCTTTAAGATTCACTCTTGCCGTAAGTAAAACAATCATTTTTTTAAAAATAATCTCTTTTTATAAAAAATTATTGTTATTTACCATTCTTGGTAACAGAGGAGCGTGACATAAAAACACAAAAAGTATTTAAATTTTCAGGCTTATATATACAACCATGGAATATAATATAATATGAAAAAGAAGCAGGGATCAACACAGTTGTGAAAAAAAAAAAAGTGTTAAAAGGCAGACACTGACGTGAAACACAATGAGGGTCAGAGTGTTAGGTGGCAAGTTGACATGGATCACAATGAGGGTCAGAGTGTTAGGCAGGCAGTTGACATGGATCACAATGAGGGTCAGAGTGTTAGGCAGGCAGTTGACATGGATCACAATGAGGGTCAGAGTGTTAGGCAGGCAGTTGACATGGATCACAATGAGGGTCAGAGTGTTAGGTAGGCAGTTGACATGGATCACAATGAGGGTCAGAGTGTTAGGCAGGCAGTTGACATGGATCACAATGAGGGTCAGAGTGTTAGGTAGGCAGCTGACATGGATCACAATGAGGATCAGAGTGTTAGGTAGGAGTAAGTAATCTTTGGGATTGTATCTCAATAAAAAGAAAATGATGATAATGTGTCACCTAAGCAATGTAACAGCATATCTAAAAGCGATTTTATTAATTTAACCACAGGGCTCTTTAAACTTATTTTAAATAGAATGTTAACATTATAAAAAGAGGGGGATTTAAAAATCAACCACCTCCATTTCTTGGTTTCTGATTTTTTAAAGAAATAGATAAAACATACCAACACTGTTGGGTGTAAAGTAGAGAGGTGCTAGTGTGGAAATAGCGTCAGCTCCAATAGCTGCAGCATGTTCTGTCTTTTAAGAGGAGAAGACAAAATACACAAACTTTAATCAAGCCAGAAGATTTTTCAAACTTTATTCTATTAAAGTAAAATATTCATGGATCTGAAATCTAAATATTTAAAATAAATTATGTTGCTGCTTTGCTTGTTCTTAACTTTTACAAACATAAAATTGCTCGAAAGTAAGTATGTGCATAATTCATAACAGAAAACTGATTATGAAGCTAGAGAGTTTTTAACGTTGAAAAAGGTACCCACCAGTTCAATTGTTTCTTTAAAATTTGTTCCACCAACTTGAATAAGAACTTTCATCTCTCTATTTGAATTTTAAAAAATTATAACTTTATCCAGATCCCAAGTAACAAAATTATTCCACGTTACATCAAACCTAACAGTTGTAGCCTAACAGATGATAGTCCAATTAAACATAAATGGTTGAACATTGATGGTTGGGCACATAGAAGTTACTATATTAAACATATGTCACACTTCAAATTAAATTGTAAAAATTATAAATATAATGCAACAAAAATAATTTATTTCTCTTCAGAAAATTCTTCTATTTCATTAAAATTTATTTTGATAGTTCTGGTTTGACAAAGCATTTAAGGAACAAACCTTCCAGGTATCTGTGATAATGTAACCCATTTCTCCGCGATTTGTTTTCTCTCTTCTGTTGTGAGTGACGTCCCCTCTGCTGTTGAGCCATTCACTAGGTTCAAACAAGATATTCACTATATATATTACTATAGATAGTCAGGGTCCCTTAGAGGTGGCCTGGGTCTCTGTACAACAATAATTCTAGGCTAGATGACATTAGAAAGTGTTAAGTTATCATTATTCTGTTTTCATGTAATCTCATAAAATAAGATATTCTTTTATTGATCCAAATGAATGGATACATGTGTTGATTGCATCGTCAATATCCATTTTCAGCAAGACAAATTAAACCAAACTTTGTTTGTTGCAAGGTGTTAGGTGAACCATTGTGTGGTTAGATTCTCCATGGGGAATGAGATGTGTGGTCTGCAGTGGCGTAGCGAGGGTGTTTGGTGCCCGGGGACAAGATTCGCGCCCGGCGACAAGATCCATTTTTAGCGCCCCTTTTTCTTTTTTTCAACTCTCAAACCCATTATTTTCATCAATAAAATAATATCAAAGGACATTTTGACGCCCCTGTCTAGCTGGCGCCCGGGGACATCTGTCCCCCCCTGCCCCCACCACGCTACGCCTCTGGTGGTCTGTTATTTATATTTTCATAACACAACTAACTCTGGAGTTCAATCTTGCCGTGGATGGCAAATGGCATACTGAGTGTACGTTGCCACTGATATATTTAGTGACTAATGTTTAAGTTCCCCATAACAAGACAATCAGGGGCTGCACTTTTTGTTTTAAGATCATGGATTATGTCCAAAATTCTATCTGTGGTTGACAGGTCTTTAGGTGGTTATTTTGATCCAATTGTTAGTACCAATGTTTGGTTGTTTTCGAAAATTTAATATTTGGCTCATAGAATTAACAATATGTAAAACCAGGACTGAAAACCAGTGTACAAAGAAAAATTACACCAAAGCTAGTGATACTAAAAATATAAAACTTCTATAAAAATACAAAGATACAGAAGCAAAAACTATATCAGCTTACAGTACATCAAGTGAAAAGGTACAATCCTTGAAATATACAATAATTAATTACGCATAAAAGAGTATACTCTTGCAATTTTATAAATGTCTTGGAAAATTAGGAAAAAATCTCTCCGACTAGGAAAGCTGTGAGCCTTTAGATAGGGATTATTATTATTATTATTTAGGCATTTTTGTATAGCGCTTACCTTACAGCTCTAAGCGCTTTACAATTATTAAAAATATGTAAACTATTTAAACTGCTTAAGTAAAATAAAAATGAAAAACCAGAAACACTAGAATAGTAACTACAATGTGAAAAATTACAATAAAAACAGTAGCTAAAACATTAAAATGGCTATAAAAACAAGTACACTTGGCACGTTTTGGCATATACTTAAATACAGGATCAACCCGAGACAGAAAATGAGGCAGTATAAGGAGGGTGCATCACAGGTCATAGGCAGACCTAAACAGATGAGTTTTAATTGACTTTTTGAAAGTGGACGAGGTTTCACAATGACGGATGTGGAAAGGGAGCTGTTTCCAGAACGTGAGCGCATGGAAGTAGAAGGAGCGTTCACCGATGGTCTTAGTTTTGGTTTTTGGGATTGAGAGGGTTCTATTGTCAGTTGAAGAGCGTAGTTGTCTTGTGGGGATGTAAGGAAGCAACAGTTCAGAGAGATAGACAGATAGATTAAATCAGAACCATTGAGAAAAAGAAATTCTGGTAATAGCATCACCTGATATCATTCTTTAGAATAAATAGAACATATTTATTGAATGTTAACAACCTTTGTCCAATCAAGGAAGGAGTGGATAAAAGGAGTGTCACAGTGGCGGGTTAATATAAAAAACAAAGCATGGGGAGACAAGTGGTGGTGGCCACTATGCTACAATTAGGCCTACACACATGCCATAACACCCATCATACTTAATATTTGAAATATGGCCATAATTATGATTGAAGAAATTCATAATAGAGAATAATGTGCTGATTAATAAATGTGATAACAAACAGTGCTATAGTTGACTGGGGGGAAGGGGGTTGAGGTTAGTGATGTTGTTTTATATGCACTGCTGTTTTAAAAAGAATGGTGTTTACTCTTTTTTTTTTTTGCAAAGAAAAATTTGATTTTTAATACACACTGTAAATTTAGAACATAGGACTGTATACTTTCAGCAGTGTCTAGGTCAATGTGACTGAGAATAACAAACTCTTTTCAAATTAGATAAAGTATACTTAACTTCTTCTTCTATATCTTAAGGGCCCACGATCAATTTATTGATCATTTTGGCTCCTATGCATGTAGATGGGATTTGCAATGTTTCTGTTACTGGTGGTGATGATGGTTAACTATATTTAGTATAAAAAATGTAAAAGAATTGTAATTGTGTTACCATAAACAAGCTTGATCTCTTGCTCTGTTAGAAACTTCTGGTAGCCATCAATAGCTTCAAGGTTTACATTTCTTTTAGGAAAATAAAAGTAATATTAGTCTCTCAGGTGCGATTCCTCATACTCATATGCATATTGCTAATGTAATGAAATGAGATTGTACAACTAATTTTGATGAAATCTACTAAAAATGAAATCCATATTTCATGCATATTGATACAGTCATTATAGTTATTTTTTATTTTTTTGTTTGAACAAACTGTCTTTTAATTCTAAGACAAAATTTAAAATGAGACTTTATTCTTAAACATCATCATATTCATATGTCATAAGTCATAATATGTGTTATGATTTATTGCTTGACTATGAAATAATTTATTAGTTGGTAAATTTAATTAAAACATAAATCATAAAGTGTATAATAAGTAATAGTAATAAGCTAAAATTTGCCTACTTAAAATTAAGTTAGTAGTTTACATTATAAAACAATGCATGATGAATGAAAATTTAAATTAAAATATAGTAGGCCTATAGTTATAGCCTATAGGCTATAGGCCTAAATATTAGAAAACAAAATAACTTGCTACAGTTACAGTCGATTCTAGTTCTACTATTTTACTAATTCGTCTAAGTCTATGTTCTAAAATATTATAATTTTTTATTATTAATTTATTATTTTATTACTTAATTATAATTATTTTTGACACACCTACTAATTATAAGCTACTAATTAATTATAGGCATATGCTACTAATTATATGCTACTAATTAGAGCTACGGCTACAGAGTCTTCGCTACAAGTCTATACGGTCTACACTATTGTCTACAGTCTACGAGTCTACGGAAATGATTAAATGAAATTTTAAAAAAAATTGTATTGGACTGCACTACACATACTACACTTACACTATTATTATTATTAGTTAAGTGTAGACTATTGCTTAAGACTCAAGGCGGTAGGGGTATATAGTAGGCTTAGTAGGCCTATATAGCAGCAACAAAAGATAGTAAAATAAGACTTAAAAAGAATCATTTAAGCTAGTAAATGATACGAAGTGAGAATAAAATTAGACCTCACCCATTTTCTTTCATAGGCGTAAAAGTTGCAGCTACGAAATCTTCAACACAAAAAGGCATTTTAGTTGACAGATGACTGATGTAGACTGCTGTGCACCAAAGCCGAGGAAAAAAATACAACGCATAGGTGGCTTTCCCAACACCTATTCAATAATCATGACTTATATTATTAGAAGACAGGGAAACATATGCTGTTATATTTAGGCTTACAATCGCCCGTAGTGAGAAATAGCGTTACAGTTTTGAGGAATATGTGTTTAGATAAGAAAGATGTGGACCAGTGGCGTAGCTAGAATGTGTGCCACGCGGATGGTCCTTTATTTTACCACCCGTCCCTCGTAATAAAAAACACAATATAGGCCCAACCAGTGGGCGCCCGCAGGGGGGAGGGGGGCACTTCCCCCTGGATTGATTGGATAAAAAAATTTTAGACAAAAATAGACAAAAAATGTATTAAAGTAAAGAGAAAATAAAGAGAAAGTAACTAAGCTGATGTCCTGTCCGTAAATTAAAACTACATTAAAACATTATTAAAAATTGTCCCCCCCCCTAGAAAGTTAATCGATTTTTTTGCCCCCCCCCCTAGAAAGTTTTCTGCGGGCGCCCATGGGCCCTACTATAACAATTCACGAGTTTATGATTTTTTTTTTAAGGAGGGTGGGGTGGGGGAGGCAGTCCACTGCGGTTGGCACTTTTTCCCTTTATATTGAGGGCAGCATTTTGCCAACGTGCATTTTGTTTCGCGCGGAGAGGGTGGAAGCGGCAAAAATCTATGTCGGCTCCGGGTGGCATTAACCTTAGCTACGCCACTGATATGTTACTGTATTAGGTATGGTTATTAGGTTTATTTATATTTTTATTTATGTGATGATATGGTTAGGGTTAGGTCAGGTCATACATAGGTGACGAGAGTATCTATTTTTGTGGATTAAAAAAAAAAATTGAGTGGGGGGGGGGGGTGCATAAAATATAAAAAAGAATTTTTTTTTTTAAAAACAAATTTGAAAAAAAAAAAAGTTTTTTTAAAAATAAAAAATAAAAAAAAAAAAAAAAAGGTCAGGTCATACATAGGTGACGAGAGTATCTATTTTTGTGGATTAAAAAAAAAAATTGAGTGGGGGGGGGGGGTGCATAAAATATAGAAACGTCATTTATTGTTTAAAAGCGACATTGCGAATAGAAAAAGTGTTTTTAAAAATATAAAATGAGCAAATAAAAAAAGATGAATTAATAAGCAAATAAAAAAAAAACAACAACATTAAATTAATGATATAGGTATAGGCCACCAATGTTTATTTCTTACTATCGACAAAAATGTGGAAGTCTATTTCAGCTTAGCCTACTCGTCATTTTCCTTGAAGAAATTAAGAAATTCTTTGTCAGTCAGTTTCACTTTACTTACAAGTAACTCCCTTCTCATCTTGCAGCTCCTAAAGCAACTGTGACGAAAAGTCATTGAACCAATTATTGGCTTGATGTTTCGGTTTGATTCAAACGGCTCACGTCCTATGACCTATCCGCCCAGGGATTATTTCAGAAATTTCCCCCAGGGGGTGGGGGGGTGGGCGCACTTCAGATTTTTTGGGGGGCGCAGTGCCAGCAGTACCAGTTGATTTATCGCCCCCCCCCCCGAGATATAGCTGAAAGAAACCCTGTATCCGCCTATCCTTGAAATTAGTGAAAATTTTCCGACAGTGACAAGGGATTAAGTAGACTGTCCGAGAAAAAAATAACTGCCTGTCGTAGAGAGAAAAATATTTTTTTTGCTCCACTATTCCAACTGTGCTGCCCCCCCCCCCCCCCCCCCC